AAGTAGTAAGCGAAGAAGAAAAGTGGGACGTTCTTCATGGATCAGAGTGGAAAGATGATGCGTCAAATCAATTGCAGGATGTACAGGACGGAACAAGTATGGATCACGTAAACAAAGACTTGGATAAGAAATCAATATTATCCTCATCACTGCAGTCAACATGTGAACAATTGAACAATTTACTTTCAACTGATTTTGATGACGATATAGAAGAATCAGAAGATGATACAAATATAATTTTATCTGGAGAAATATGCGAAAGCCAATTTTTAGAATGGGTTCATCTATCCAGTCAAGGTAGTGAGGACTCCGAAACAACCAGAATATTGGCAGAATTACTTAAAGAAGCACAGTTGGATGAACTTTTATCTCAAAGTATATGTCAAGACAATGAATCTTTGACGGAATTATTAAAAGAAGCCCAATCAGAAAATCAAGTTTTTTGCCAGAACGTACATTCAGATACTGAGACGTTAACGGAATTACTTAAAGAAGCTCAATTAGACAATCATTACTTATGTAGAAGGAGATGTTCAAATACCTCATCTATTAACCGAAATTCCACTTCAACAAACCTTAACTTCAAGACACCAATAAATCCAAACCTTCATTCGATTATAATAGAAAATAATAAATCACCAGATGAAAAAGATTTTGTGGGCATAGTGTCATCACCAGAACCATTAAAACCAATTAACAAAAGCTCACCAGATCTGAGTGAATTTGAATTTGTGATTGTATAATTGTTAAATTATAAAAGAAAAAAATCATGAAATACCCAAAATTACTATATCAATATTTTTTGCATTTAATATTACATAGTATTTTTTTGTTTTATTTTTTTATTGATTTTTTTTTGTCTATGAATTTCTAAACAAATATCGGAAAAATGACTTTTTTATATTCATTTTTTTCAATTAATTCTTGAAACAGCATTCTTACAACTATTTTGTAGATATAAGCATTGTATATCATAATTTTATTAACATAGACGTTTCTATTTTTATTTAAACCAACATACTTTTGATAATACTTTTGTAAATGTATTAGAGTTTAATTGGTTGTGTGGGGTTTATAATGCACTAATGCTGTTGTTTTAGTTATTCAAAAAGATAAATAAATGAATAAATAATTGGTAATCTCTCGTTATCTGACATGATGTGACGAAACATGGACATCGGCAGAATAGCAAAAGCACGCGGTCTTCGGCACGTGTGTTACTATTATTCTGTTGTCCATGATCCGCTATATCATGTCGCTACTTTTAAACAAATTGGCAAGACCTCGTCGAATTGTGATCTTAACCTTGCACACAATTTACGTCCATTCACTTTTATTTAGTATATTTCTTAATACTGCCAAAATTTCAAAACTATGCTAAAAATTAGTAATTTGTTACATAGCCTACATATTTACCCACAGGTGACCCAATTTTATATAATCAATTAATATTTTATGATAGGAGTCATCCTATACTGCAAAAGGGCTTTCCACTTTATATCCGGTATCTTATGTGAGATGAGATACCCACAGATTGCCATCATTAGTCAAAAGATCTCTTATAGGTAACGCCGCGCTTTGTAGACTACGTAGCATACGTAGTGAAAAAATCTTGAATCAAATTTTATTTAAATATACTAGTGTTATAAGCCGGCTAAGGCAACACGGCTAGCCAGTCGATTAAAACCATGTGGATTACAATATTACTATTGTCATGGGTTTACCGTGCATTTCTTGGGTTTCTCTGGTCGAAATTGCTTGCTAGCTTTGCTTATCACACAGACTGTTATATCTAGGGATGGCAAAAAAA